GGCCAAGTTTGGCATAATTGAAAAAAGACAAAAAGTCAAAAAGTCACTATCCTATTTAAATCACATCATCTTATTTAAGTTACATCACCTCTCTAATACATCACTTCAAACCCAACTCAAACCCAACTTTTTTTTTATAAAAAATCAAAAAATACATTTGTTTTAAATATTCCAAACCACTCCTAACTGTACAAAGTCAGGCTGTCGTCGAATTGGGCCGTCAAAAAGCAACCGTCCTCGGGGCTTTACCGTTTCAAATTTGACCCAAAAAAGACGTTACAGAGAAAAAGGAAAAAAAATTGACTCCAATATTTAATTATTTAATTTAAAAATATTATGTAATTTGTTTAATGTGGCCATTTAAACTAATCATGTGCCTAATTTTTGTAGTTTTTATAAGACGAAAAAATCGATGTGTTTGGATTTTTAATTTTTTTAGTGATTTTATTGATTGTATGAAAAAAAAGATTGACATGAGAAAATGAAAAATATTAAAAATTCATAATTTGAACTCACAATGCCGATATGATGGAATTTGTAATAAATTAAAAGTTAAAACCTATTAGGTCATATTATTACGAATCTAATTAGGAAAACTATTTCAGAGATCTTAAAACATTTTGCATGATATATATTGCTTTTCACCTTACACTTTTATTTTGCAATTAGTAGATAATCAAGCTAAGTCAGCAACCAATGCACCCCGCAACCCCACCTTACAAACCACGCACCCCTAACCACCCCTCTGCCACGGCGGCAAAGGTGGCTCGGTGGGCGAGTGTAGAAGATACAAAATGTAAGAATGTATTTTAAAAAATGAGGTGTTCAACAATTTTTTATAGGGGACATTTGGAGATTTTCAGTTTTATATGGTTAATTCCCTTTTGATTAGACCATTTCGACCTTGATTTTTTTTTTTATTATAAATTCTTGATAGATGTAATATATTTGACTAAATCGGCACAATATAAAAAACTAAAACGATTGAAACTATAGAGACAAAAGGATCACAGGTATAATTTATACATAGAAATATCAAGTAATATAATTTTATGATACTTTTTACATTTTGCTTGGATAGAAATTGATATTACATTTCACATATTTGTTATAATATTTTTAATGTTGTAGAAGTTCATGGCTCCAAAATGAAATTCGTTATAACCTTTTTAATGTTGTAGAAGTTCATCGCTCCCAAATTCATTGTACTCTTGTAGTTTGATTAGTTCTTATACTTTAACTCTAGTTTTAATTTAATTCTTTTGTTCAAATCGTACGTTAAAAATAACGATTTTTTTACAAGTGTCAGTCCAGATAGAAAAAATTGGTAATTATTTTGATGAAAGGACCAAATTGAGACTATACAAGAACGAAATAATCTTTCACTCGTATAATCATGTTGATCAAGCTTGCACTCCTCCACACGTTGTCATAATACCTGAAACCACAAATGTGTATACCGGAAACCCCTCTGATGCCTATGTCATCAAGCAGACTGAGGATACAAAAGCTCTGTGAATTCGGGAGTAAGAATTGCAATAGTTGGATGAGGGTTTGGCTTGAGCTTTTGTAGAGTCCGCATGACACAATCCTAGTAAGACTCTATCTCTCCTTCGTAGAGTCCTCCTATGAATCACATTCCTAAAAGATAATGCATATCCTTTGACACTCTCCTCATTGCAAGCTAAATGAGATGGCACAACTCTTTGCTCGGCTTTCGTTGTGTAACCGAACTACTTTTGCTTTGTTCGGCATTGGCCTAGCCGTGAAACACACAACATCGTGCACAACTTGCACGGCGCGCCACCATGCTAACATTGCACTACTCTTCTCCTAACTCGGTCAAACCTCCATACTTAGTCCATTTGACAGCCTTCCTCGTAGCTCGAACAAATGCATTGACCATTAGGAATGAGCTATAGGTCCAAGAATATGGGCCTTTTGGTAGTCCGGTCAAACTTCTTTGACCTGTTCCATCCACTATTATAGCGATTCCGATTTTAACAAATTAGATGATATTAAAAAATTGGTTGTAAGTAACAAATTGGATGATATGTTGTCATCATTAAAAAAAAGTAATTTGGATGAAACAAATTAAAGATCCAAAATTAGGAACCAAAATCAAAGTCAAGAGTTGCTTTTAAGAATAAATTATTGAATAATCAACTTTGGAAAATGTGTCCATAAATCCCTATTAGCTTCATTTTCTTGTTAAAAGGACTGAAAAAAATTCAGTACTTTCAAAATCCCCTTATAATTATAAAATTATGTATAAAGAATAAAATTTATTATTTGAATATTTTATTTGACCATTATACCCTCTCTTTCTTCCATTTCTTTTGCAGCGCTCTCTCTCTCTCTCTCTCTATCTCTCTCTTCACCAACTAGATGGTTGTGCATTGTCTCCATCATCTTCATCATCTATCAACGTCGCTCATCCTCACCATCAGTCGACAACCACCATTTTTACTGTTAAACCACCATCATCTCAGATTTGATACTTACGAACTCATATTTGAGATCAATAATTTCATATCAGAGATTAAAAAAAACTTAGATTTGACAGAAAAATGAGAAATCGAGATATGGCAATGAAAAATTAAGAATTTTTTGTTTGTTTGTTTGTTTGTTCATAGATCTGCAAGTAAAATTTGACTATGATTCGTTCATTCAACATATATTTTGTTTTCGTAACAGTAAAATTTTACTTTGAATCATAGTAAAATTTACTCTGATTCAGAATAAAATTTTACTCTCATTTTTTATTTATTTTTATTTTTTATAATTACAGAGTAAAACTTTACTCTAAATCAGAGTAAAATTTATTATGATTCAAAGTAATATTTTACTCTGAAATAAGCTGTAAGAATGGCTTTACAAGAGAGTGTTATGTCATAAACCAAAGTAAAATTTTACTATTGAAAGAACAGAGCATCATGAGAAGAAGATAGAGAGATAGAGAGATAGAGTTCGAAAATCGAAGATCAAGAGAAGAAGAAGAAGAAGAAGAAGAAGAAGAGAGAGAGAAAGAGAGAGACAGACAGACAGAGAGCGCGAACCATCAAAACCAAAGAGAGAAAGTGTGAAGGATATCAGATTTGAGGTTTGCGAATCGTCGTAGATCGTCATTTTCCAGTGACGAAAATTGTGAATGATCTCAGATATGAAGTTGTGGATTCAACAAATAAAGGTGGTGATGAAGACGATGGAGAAATAGTTCCATGGTGAGTGACGGTGTTGCCGATGGAGAGCAACGATGGCACTGATGAAGAGAATAATGATAAATGGGAGGCAAAGAGAAGAGAGATTGAGATGAGAGAGAGTGATTACAAGTTGACACACACGTACACACACACACACATATATATATGAGGGTATTATAGTAAAAGAAATAAATTTTAGAATACTAAGGGGATTTTGAAAAAATCTATATAATTCTTGTCATTTTGAAGGACAAGTTAAACACTGAGAGGTCTATCACCAAATCCCCCATCAATTTTAGTAGCTGACTTTTTTTTTCTTTTTTTTTTTATTATTTGGAGCAGCTTACTTCCAGTCTAAGATCAGACTGGACGGTGTTGTTCGGCCAGCGGGGGCCCATCACGGGTCCCGTTTTGATAATCTGAACCGTTCAATGTGTAGAATTAGTCGAGTAATATATACTTATAAAAAATTAAGTTGATCGTATATCGATAGTTATCTCATCGGATCAGTTTTTTATCAATTGTTTATTTTTTCACTCTCTATTTTTTTTATATACAAAACTAATTTGATCACAAAGCTATTAGTTTGTGAGGAGGAAGAACAATTCCCAGAAGGGAGGAGGAAAAACAATTCCCGAAGCCCCTCAGCACGCCAGGAGCGGAAGACACTCTTACCGACCTTCCAAGGAAGTCGGACGGGAGGAGCTAAGACGAGAGGAGTCCCGAAGAACGTATCACACGAAGGACCCAGAGCCCAAAGAACATCGGCATGTTCAAGGGCAGACGCTCTGCTTTGACACAACACATGGAGAGAGATCAAAACAAGCCCACCACGAGGCTGAAAGTAGTGTGCCAAAAAGATTGAAGTCCAAAGATAGCAGAGCTCCAGGGAAGAGTAAAGAAAACTTGAGAGATTACCTCAAGAGGAAACAACAGAATGCTGAAG